TCACCAACATTAAAAGGCATCAATCAAATTCCTGTGAACATCACACCTGCCACTCCTTTCCTACGTCATATTTCCCCCTTTTTATCCCTCAACGTAAAGCGAAGTTGTCGGCGACAGTAATGCATAATTAAACATTTGTTCTTCCTCGCAACTTTCGACGCAGCTGTTGAGGAAGAGACGGTCTTGGTGTGAGAAATGTCTTGCCGGTATACAGGAAATGCATGATGATAAGATATATATATATGTACACACACACACACACACACACACAAAAAAAAAATAAATGAAAATAAAATAAAAAAGTGTTATCATTAAGAAAAACTGTATAAATTTCCTGCAGTATTCTTACTCTGATAAAGATCATATAATACTATATTGCAATTTAACGTTTTATATGAGATCACAAAGAAATGACCAAGAAGGAAGCAAAAATATACCAAAGAAAATAAATATATTCCTACCGAGAATCATCCGTGCGTTCATGAAGCAAGAAAATAACCTCGAATTAAAAGCTGATAATGCTTGATAATGATAATAATGCTTGATAATGCCATTCCCATTTATATATATATTTTTTTCTCTCCGTCAGGGTGAGCACTGGTTGAGTCGCCAGATGACAGAGGAGATAATAGTTACCTTGGCTCCTCTCTTGGAGAACAACCAGCCGTCTCCTGAGATATGCCACTTCTTCAGCCAACACTGTACCGACAACCCGCGTTCGTGTCTTGTTATCGACATGTTCACACCTATTATCAAGAGGATACTGAAACATAATGTGGTGAGTCCGAGAGGTAGACGAGGATAAATACATGAGTAATTGCTAAGGTAGGGATGGATATAAGAGGAAAGATTAAGATAGATGATGGATATTTGGGTAAAGATAGGGTCATCTTGGCTTAGCATTTACAGATAATTGTTGTGAATTACTGATTACTAGGATAGGTATGAATATATGAGTAATTTGCTGAGACAAAGATAAAGGTATGAGTTATTGCTAAGGCTGGGTAGAGTATATGAGTAACTAGTAAGATAGGGATGAATATGAGTAATTGTTAGGGAGGTTTAAAGATATATATAACAAAGAGGCTTGAATTTTGGAAAACTGAGAGAGGGGAGAGGGTTAAAATCATGATAGGGAAAGACAGTGATTATGTAAGGAAGGTTAGGGAGCGATTGGGTTTAGAAATTGTTTTTGTAGTATAGTTAAACGTGATTTATTGAGGAAGCACCAGAAAGACAAACGGATTTACAAGAATAGAATAAACCGAAGAGACCTTACGGAGAATTACAAAATGCCTTTTCTCTTTGACCTTAAGTGTGATTTTAGAAAGTAGTATTGTATTTCCCCTATAAAGTATTTCCTTCCTGTATTTTTTTTTTTTTTTCAATTTCTAATTCAATACAATACCAAACAAAAGCCCAAACTCACTCACTTTTTTTCTCTCCTTCAACCTCCTCCACAAACAGGACTTCGGCAAGTACCCTTACGTGCGTCACTTTGTACAAAACTACATACAGGCCCTCAATAGTCAAAACGACGGGCTTCGGGTGGTGCACCAGTTCGTCCACAGCATGCACGGACCGACGAGTACATGCCCTCACTTGCGGGTTCTCCCCAACCTAGTCGCAGTGTGTACAGCAGCTGTGTGCACCTTAGTGGAGGACCAGAGAAACCAAGAGCGTCTGAACACCCTCACGCAGTCCACGGAAGACACGACACATCATCTTAATTGCTACCTCAGTGTCCTTGCTAAGATGTAAGCTTGAGTGATCTGAGGGAGTGTGGTTTAAAGTGATGGTGATCTTATAATGCTATTATTGATTGTCATAGTGATGATAACAATCTTGGTAAAAACGATATTGTTAATGATGAGGATGTTAATGAATATTATAATCAATAGCACAATAATTAAAGTGGTACTAATTATGAAAATAACGATGATGATAATCATGTCAATAATAATGAAAATGTAAAAATGATAATGGTAATAATACAAAGTAGACCCAGTATACAACAGCAACATTCGGAATGCCCATTTCATTAGTATTCCGGTATGGTAAACTATGTAATGACTAACAAAACATTACCTTCCTGCAGCTGTGAATATGACGACTGGAGACCTGGACTAGCTCAGCTCCTGCAACCCATACCTTTCCCTGATGTGGCTCTTGCAGATGAGAAATTCATCAGGTCAGTTTCCCTTCCACCTACCGTGCCACTGCGTCAGTTTCGTGCTTACAGTACATGCCTCTCATATAGGGTCCGAATTCCGACACAGGTAACTTAGGAGTTTTATTTGCCGTCGTAACTTTATTGATCTCCTTCATAATAGAGGTGATATTTCTTTCATCTAAGATAAAAAACTTACTGTGGATGTATTTCAAATTATAATGGATACTGGTTATGTATATGATCATGTTGTTAATTAGCTCACTGGTATTTATATCAACGTTACCCAGGTATAGTATACTGATTCTTAAATTGTAGTACTATCATGTATTTATACTCTATAAAGAATTATATCTAAGACAGTGAATAATTATGAAAATCTGGGCCAAAGGGGTTAATGAATGACTGATAGGAATAATGACTGTAAAATTATCCAGTAATTATTTAGATGAAAACAAATGTCAGCTGACAGAAGTGTTAATAAAAGATAATAAAAAAATCGAGACTAAATTAATATATTTTTTTCATTTCAGACAAATTTTGCCAGTTCTGGAACAAATAGGCACAGACCCGCGATGTGAGGTGCACAGGATGGTACTTGGCACAAGGGAAGACAAGGAGGGATGGTTAAGCATACTGTGTCCATCTTCCTTAGCCTGCGTTGACGAAGGGACTGCTTGGGCCAGTATAGTATGTATAACCTACAAGACACTGTATATGTTTATGTGGAAGGATTTTACAGCACTCTTTTCAGATTCTGTTGGGTTCTCCCTCCCTACAGCGTGATTTTAAAAGTTCAAAGATTTAGTTCATTTTAGTGAATATTTTCTAGAGCCTTCCAAAATGTAACAATGAGGGAAATTTGTTTTAAATATTCTCCTTTTCTCTCCAGCTTGAGACCATTATCAACTGTTGCTGTAAGAGAAAGAAGTTCCTAAATCTACTGACTAAATCACTTGGTGCCTGTATGTTGCTGGCACTGAGGGGCAACACCACAGCACAAGACGTAAGTGCCATTTCAAGAGCTCTATTACCTAGCTAGAATTCAGCCTTATATTTATTTCAGACATATGTACAGATAAAGACAGAAAAAAAAAACTTTACAGTAAGATAAATTTAGAACACCTAATAAGGATTAGACGTGAATGTATACTATTTATCTATTAATTATATTTATGAATGTGCCCATTTAAAAAAATAGAAATATGGCTTTCTGAATAGGATGTTCAAACAATTAAAAGAATTAAAACTTGAAGATGATGCTAAATGAACTTACTCGATACTCTTCAGGTACTGTGCTTGATGCTGGAATGGAAGTTGATCGACGGTTCAGACCAGGGACTCCAGGTGGTCACAACATTACAGTCAACCACATCAGGGAAGAGGCGTTACCAGGCTCTCTGTGAGCGACAGCTACATCTCAGGGAATTAGTAAGTTGTCATATCCTTTGAATTTAGAACAGGTGTCAGCAAATGGTTATATTCTTTTAACGTTGAGGAGAGAGAAATGTAGTACAGGCAGTCAGTTAGTTAGTCAATTAGACACTCAGTCAATTAGTCAGTCAGATAATCAGAGAGAGAGAGAGATAGAGAGAGAGAGAGAGAGAGAGAGAGAGAGAGAGAGAGAGAGAGAGAGAGAGAGAGAGAGAGACAGAGAGAGAGAGAGAGAGAGAGAGAGAAAGAAAGAAAGAAAGAAAGAAAGAAAGAAAGAAAGAGAGAGAGAGAAAGAGAGAGAAAAAGAAAAGCGAAAGACAGACACAATCAAACCTAAACTCATCACAAATAAGAAAACAAAACAAAACAAGAAAAACGAAAAAAAAAAATAACTCTCCCCTCCCCCCCTACCCCCCAACCAAACAGCAACAGAAAGGTGGACCGAGAAAGCTAACCCTCCCGAGTAGATGCACCGACGCTGACGTGAACCGGATGCTGTCCTCCGGGTCGTTTGGGAACTTGGAGTGTCTTTCCCTGGCTTTCACTCGAGTCACCAGCGCCTGTGCAGAGCAGCTCATCAAGCTTCCCACTCTCCGCTACCTCAACCTCTGGGCCACACAGGTAAAGAGGGGTAGCCGTGCGGGTACTCCGTGTTATTATTATCATTATAATTTTTTTTTTCTTTTCTATTTTTTTTTGTTAATAGTTGATTAGTACGTATTTTTCTTTTTCTTTTTTTTTTTTGTTAGTACGATGGGGTATAGAGTGAAAGAATGTTTGGTTAACTCTAATGATTATAGCGGTTTATAGAGTGAGTATTGCTCTGTAATTGCATTTACTTAATTTGTAATCTCTAATTGATAATATATACAGATAGTATTAAGAAGAAAAAAAATATATACAACAGACAGTTAATAAAAAATTGCCTTATTTTTTTCATTTTGAATCAACACTGAAATTCTTCTTAACTAGTTAAGGTATAAGATGAACAGATTTGTTGTATTTTTATTTATTTATTCATTTCTTTTCTAGTTTGGTGATGTGGGTTTGCAACTTATATCAGAACATCTGCACAAATTACAAGTGCTAAACCTGTGTGAAACTCCTGTCACAGACAAAGGCTTGGGCACACTGACAGGTAAGCATCATTATTATTGTTGTTGTTAAATTATTATTACCCTTAGTGTTGTTGTTATTGTTATAATTAGTATTATTATAATTATCATTATCATTACTGCTATTATTATTATTATTATTAACATTGTTATTACCATCATTATTACTGATATGATATAATAAGGATAATCATGATATTATTATCATTACTATTAATCATTATTAACATCATTATCATCATTAATATTATTATTATCGTTATACTAGTAGTAGTATTACTACTACTGCTTCTAACAATAATAATAATTATAGTTGTCATAGTCTTTATCATTCTCATCATCATTATTTTCATATTTTTATCATTATTATTGTCATTATTAGTATTTTCACGACTATATCATTTAACATAAGTAGAGACCTCAAATATCAATTATTTATATTTTACATGAACATTCATTACGTACTTTCAATTTACTCATCTGTGTAATGAACTAATCGACATAAAAGTATAGATCGCTATTGTTATTTTGATAAGAACCCACGTTGCATAAAGACTAAACTAGCTTCCTATTCCAACAGCCATCAAGAGTTTGCGGAAACTGAACCTCAACAGCACGAATCTCTCCTTGCAAACCTTCGAAACACTGAAAGAGACTCTGCCATCTCTCCAAGAAGTGGACGTCCGGTACACAGATGCTTGGTGACCCTCGCCTCCCTCTGCTGACACTCCTGATGTTAGCAGAACCTCCGCCGGGCCCACTGCCTTTATTCGCCGCGTCTTGAACCAGCTGGGGAGGAAGAAGAGGGACAGGGACCAAACCAAGCAGGACTCTCCCGTTTCAGAGAGGAATAACAGCAGGAGGGACTTCATGTGCTTGCCCAAGTTCGACGGGAAGAGTCTGACGAAGAGGAACCCGCTGGTCAAGGCGAAGAGTGAAGAACAGGGAACTGTGAAGAGAGGGTTGTTAGTCAGAGCTTGCAGTGTAGATCAAACTAATTTTGTCAGAAACTTCATTGTACGGTCCGGGAGCGACGAACCGGCCGCGAAATCAACCAATGCTCTTATGAACTCGAGTGGTGAGACACAGAGCAGCCAGTTGAAACAGAGTAATGTTAACAATGAGGAACAGAATCCTACAAGAAGTAATGCAGTTGCTGTAGCAGAGCAAGGAGAACCAAGTACTAGAACAAGGAATCTTCTTGTTCGAGCCAGCAGTGAAAAAGGTAAATCAATCACAAGGAATGTCCTTGTTCGAGCCAACAGTGACGGGAAAAGGAACAAGATCACCAATCTTGTTTCCGAAAAGAAAGCTAATTCAGACCAAGAGATCTGCATTGCTGCCAACACCAACTAAAGCAGAGTAAAGACTTATAAGATATCACGTGAGACAGAAAGCAATTATATTTGTTATATCAAGGTTGACAATGATGCTGGAGTATATAGCTAATGATTTTTTTTCTACACAAATATTATATGTATTCATGAAATTGTGACCCATTTCACACTACACTTTCTGTGTAAAATTTCTTTCTGTGTAACTTATTTTCTGATATACTGATTTGCCAGTTAAGTGTAATGCTAAAAAGCTAGTTTTATATATATAGATATATACTGTATATATATACCAAGTGATTATGTGGTTACATGTAGATATATGTTTCGTTCCAAAGACTTATTCATGATTATTTCCCATTGAGTGAAATAGTTAGAATAGCATGACCAATTGTGCTCAGTGGCTACATTTATAGTAGAGAAAAGAGCTTTCTAAGTTACTTGTTTCCTTCATTTATGAAGAAAGTATCAAGTTAATGATATGGGCATTTAGTTTTGCAAGTGGAATCTGCTCTGCTTAAACAATGAGCATTGATGGTCAGAAATCGGAAATTTTCTTGTCATTGGGAGTATCACTTAACTGTTGCTCATTGCCAAATACTTTTACCGGCTCAGGATGAAGCCCTTTGGAGGAGGCTTCGGTGTTATCACTAGCCACTTGACTTCTGCTTCTGAGACAGTCAATTCTATGGTGTGAATTTGTTCCTTGTGTCCATTTTATATGTTGGCATTTATCTTATGTGGTAAGTTTTTTTTTTTTTTATCTCTCTCTAAACCTTTATTTTCTCTCAAGAAAAGCAGCTGCAGCATCATTCCTTATTTAAACAGAAATATACGAGATATGAGAGAGAGATTGGGTAAAAATTGTATTTATGTGTGTTGAGAGCTGTTTGCCAAAAATTAAACACGTGTGATTGGTATATTATTTTGTGTTTTCCATCATATGGAAGTGAAAGTTCAACTATCAGGGCATTTTGATATACTATTTCAGTAAGTTCAAGAACTGAATTATTGTACATGAAGTATGATGCAAATGTATGGAAAAATATTCCAAATCTAACCAACTATCCTGACTCTTACTGGTCTAGTCTGGTAAAGTTTTCTGATTATTTACATCTCTTAGACTCTTTATTCCTGACGACTATGTACTACTAAGAGATGTTTTGCAGTACATATGCTTTCCCTCTACTTTTGACAAAGGCACAAAATATATATATAACCAGTGTCTGCCATGGTTGAGGTTTGGTTAAAACCTTATAGCATGATTATTTATTATATGATACGGTTCACTTTGTTACCAAAGTTATTTAATATGTCAGTTCTCTACAGTATTTTAGTTATTTTTATGTGAGAATATTTTGTTACATGTGATTGATAATGTGGATCTAAGAGTGGCCCTAAGTCACCCAGTCTGAGCCAGTAATTAACAGTAATTTTGCACTCAAGTTTGATCAAAATCAGTACGTATTTTCTCACTTTACTTTTATCATCAAAGTACAGTAACATTTTTTTTTTTTAATAGACTGGTTAGAAAAAGAATAATGACTACGATTACTTGATAACAGAATTACTGTGACGACCAGGGTGGTAAGTGATGCAAACTCCTGCCTTGAGTCTTGTCTAATTCAGGGTGTCCTTTGACTGTCGAAAGATATTTTAAGTCTACTGTGGTTAATGCAGACAGAGGAAAAGGGAAACCAATTTTCAGTTTTCTTGTACAGTCCAAAGGCATCCCGAGGGTTGTAGAATCGTTAGATGAAGGTGCGCAATTAAAAATCAAATGACTGATGATTAATCACAGTGCACAGAGTAGAGAAATAACGTTAGAAGTGCCATATCTCTATATCAAACAATGTTTCACTTGCACATTGCTTGTGATCTTTAATCTAAAATGCCCAAATTTGTGTCATTGCTGACTATTTGTTGCCATATGCTACGGTACACATCATGTATTTTTTTTCTTTATCATTATACAAGTATGTATCCAACCAAATGATACTTTGATTATTTGATAGGTAAATGATGTGCCAATTTAATAAGTTGATAAATACTGTAGATGTAGTGGCACTGAAAGTAACAATTACTTTAATATCTCTGTTATGTTGTTAGTCATAATCTGTAATGTTCTCACAGTCTGAATGCCAGTGTAAATGAGGTCAGCAAACTTTTGATGCCCTTTTATATATATATAAAAAAAAATCTTACTTGGAGTATCTAAGCAAAAGGTTAAAATCAGTAATTCATTTCAGTTACGAGAAATTATCAAAACTCTTTTCACATTTTTCACAGTTTTTTTTTTGTGAATAGCAAATAACTTAAATTCATTTCATAACGTGATTTGAATCTTTCATTCACTTTATTCCGGTCATACCATTTGTATTAGTTCTAGTAAAGCAACACTGGAATTTCTTACAGTAGTGTACAACCCACCATCACGCTCATAATCATGAAATTCACAATCTTGTGACCACAATAGGAATCCCTTTAGAATATATATTTTTATTATGACACACTGATGCTATGGTATGGAATAAATTACTGGATTTTAAAACAATCAAATGTGTATATACAATATATGAAACATTATTAGATATTTTAGAAAATAAAAAAAATGTTATACGAATATAGTGACAAAGCGTCTATGGCAAGGTACCAATTTTGTCTGAGTTTTATACCTTTTGTGAAGACAACTTCTTGCTCTATCATTCTGTACTGCTTTACCGTTGTTTGTCTCATAATAGATGTGGCAGGATCACCCCACTTAAAAAAAAAAATCTTTCAGGCTAATTAAAAAGGGGGGGAAGGTTCCCTTATTAGCTGAATACCTCAGGTGATCGCTGACTTTGTCATCACTGAGCATTCTCAACACCAGTGATGCTGATCTGTGAGCTGTCATGTAATCTGTCTGTGATTTCTGCAAGTTATTGTGTAAAGGTGTGTTGCTCAACGGCCATAGTCAAGAGCAGTCAGGGATGTGGAGACTTCGTGTATTTTGTTTCCTTAGAACCTAAATTGAAGTTTCCCAAATAGGCGATAAGTATAGGAAAATATCTTGTCTTATTTTCTTACTTTTTTTTCATTCAAGTTTACGTTTACGTTCATCCTTTCTTCTCTCTCCCCAATATGGAATCTTTATCAAAATCCTGATTTCACGTCCTCAGTCTCTTCTCTGAATATTAGAGCCTTTTTAAATCGATCATGCTGGATAGATATAGTCTTCCACTCTGTGCTAATGACTAAGTGTCTTCAAATGGCTTAACGAGATGAGCCTCCATCATGCCTGGCTACTCTACTGTTGCATCGTTCAAAAATATCCCACCCTTACTCTGGGTCAATGGGTAGAAACCACGACACTCTTGTATGTTTATTCCATTTTGTATACCCCATAATTGTGTGGATGTTTTCACACATCAGTGTAACCTTATATAAAGGTAAGCTGTACAGTATGAAACTGCTGATGTTCTTTATGTATAATCTTGGGGCTTTGCTCCAAGAAATGTATATTTGTGTTGTTTTTTTTTCTCCCGTATGCATTGAAGTGCATACGCGTGCAAACACAGACACACACACACACACACACACACACACACACACACACACACACACACACACACACACACACACACACACACACACACACACACACACACACACACACACACACACACACACACTACCAAACCTAAAACCACATCTTATAAATCATATCTAAATTATATTAAGCCTTATCATGCTATTTATAAACTTCTACTATCTGTCATAGTATTTAATGTTCAGTCGTATCGTAGGAGCCCGGGGAAGCAGTCATACTTGGTCATTACATTTTATTGATTTTGTATTCAAAATCAAAAACGTCGTGTGAAGCCACCGCAGTTCACCGTCCCCAAGTCCTCACTGTATTGTTTGCCATTCTGATAACAGCTTTCCGTAAATGAAATTTACATGTA